GAGTCCAGGTGTTCAAAACCAGCTTGAGCCACATAGCAAGTTCTTGTCTCTACAAAAAATTTAAAAATTAGCCAGGTATGGTGGCACGTGCCTGTAGTTCTAGCTACTTGGAGACTGAGGCCGAAGGATCATTTGAGTCCAGAAGTTCAAGGTTTCAGTGAACTATGATTGTGCCACTGTACTGCAGCTTGGATGACAGAGCAAGATTCTATCTCTTAAAAAAAAAAAGAGAGACAACCGGGCTCGGTGGCTCAGCCTGTAATCCCACGCCTTTGGGAGGTTGAGGTAAGTGGATTGCCTGAGCCCGCGGGTTCGAGACCCGCCTGGGCAGTGAGACCTCATCTCTACAATAAATAAAAAAATCAGCCAGGTGTGGTAGCATATGCCTATAATTCCGGCTACTCGGAAGGCTGAGGTGGAAGGATCGCTGGAGCCCAGCAGGTTGAGGCTGCGGTGGCCGGGAGCGGCCACTGCACTCCAGTCTGGGCAACAAAGTGAGACTCCAACTCAAAAAATAAAAAAATTTTTTTAAAAATTTAAAAAAAGAGAGAATTCATTAAAATCACACGATATGAGATCTTTTTAGTATCATTTGTGATGGGAGTAGGAAGGAGCTCCCAAAGTCATTCCTAAAACCTAAGGTCTTAAAAATGGCCGGAAGGAGGTGATCTTGCATATGGTCAGAGACAAGAGGAGGGTGGGAAGGCAACCTGGCATTTACTTAGCACCTACTGAATGCCAGGCACGGTATCCATGCCACGTACTCTATCCATGTTGCCTCCCGACATTATGAAATACAGCTTATGACTGTGTTCATTCTACAGATGAGAAAACTGAGCAAGTGAGTAGCAGGCCTGAGATTCTTATCACATCAGAGCAGAAATGATCCCAGTGCACTTTATTCTGCCATTGCCTAGCGGCATGACCTTGGAGATGGGTGCTCCCTGATTTACCATAGGGCTAGCCATCATAAATTGATATACCCATCATGCAAACCATCATGGTGGTTCATGCCTGTAATCCCAGCACTTTGGGAGGTGGAAGCAAGAGGTTTGCCTGAATCCAGGGGTTTGAGACCAGCCTGAGCAAATTGGTGAGGCCTCATCCCTACAATAAATCAAAAAATTACCCAGGCATGGTGGCACATGCCTGTAGTTACAGCTCCTTGGAAAGCTGAGGCAGAAGGGATACCTGAACTCAGCAGGTTGAAGCTGTGGTGGCCGTGAGCATGCCACTGCACTCTAGCCTGGGTGACAGAGAGACTCTGATTAAAAAAAGTATATATATATATAAAACATAAGTCAAAATTGCATTTGGTACTCCTAAGATCTACCATAGAGCATCAGAGCTTAGTTTTGAGTACCCTAAATGGGCTCAGGTCACTTACACTAGCCTACAGTTGGGCAAAATCCTCTAACACAATGCCTATTTTATAATAAAATGTCGAATATTTCATGCAGTGTATTGAAAACTGAATTGAAAGTGAAAAACAGAATGGTCATATGGGTATTTGAAGTACGGTTTCTACTGAATACATATCTCTTTCGTACTGTCATAAAGTTGACCCTTCATCAATCAGGGACTGTCTGTGTGTATAGTTCCCTAAACTTTTACAGCACTTTAAAATGTACTTGCGTGATCTCACTTGACTGTCACACTGAATTTCTCCTCTGCTATATCCCTATTTTAGAGATAGTAAAATAGAGGTTCAAGGTCACATAGGTCTTCAAAGGCAGAACCAGAGGTAGGACCTAGGTTTTTCGCTTAAGGCAGCGAGTTGTTTCTGAAAGAACACACATGAAGTTTGAAAGTGGAGAAATCCTATTTTGAATCTTGGCTCCTCCACACAGGCAGTGGCAGCTTGAGCAAGGGGTTTCCTGAGCTAAGCCTCAGTTTCCTCATCTGTGAAGTGAGGATGAGAATGCCTATAGCAGTCAGGTGGTTGGGTGGAGGAGTTCTCCTATCTGGAGTACCTGGCTGTGCGGTGAACAGGCCAGCCTGAGGACTCCTTCTCTGGGTCACGCTACCCTGTGGGCCTCAGTTTCTCTTCTCTTCATGAAAGTACTGCACAAAGGTCCTCTGAGGGCCCTTCCAGTTCCAGATCCCTGTGAATGCACAGCTTTTGTCTGTATTGTTTATACCCCACACCACCAAGTACTCTTGGTCCCTATGTCAGTCCTTTGCTATTGAAGCTCAGCAGTCACCCAGGGCACTTCAAGTGTAATTCTTCCTCGGGAAACCGAGGCCTCCAAAACACATGGGGTTCATTTGCTAACACCAACATTCATGGACCCCTGTGCTAGCCATGGGGTCACCCTCTCCTGCAGCAGCTCCAGGGAGGTGTCGTCATTTCCACTCTGGCCCTGCTCCCTTAGCCCTGGGCTGGCTGTCAGGGGAATGTTTTCCCACCAGGCTAACAGGCGCTGCAAGGACTTGTTCATTTCTCTGCAATTAGAAGCTGAAGAGTAAGTGAAATGCTGCATAGAGTATGTGTGGGAGGAGAAGGAGACAGCATGTTGGCGCCCACCCAAGCTCTGGGCTAAGGCCAGTGGAGGTAGAAACCCCGCCGTTTTATGCCCTGAAGAGACTGAAATAACCTACAGGTGCTGTGGAATTATTTTTAAATTTACTTTTGTTTTGAAATTATAGGTATATACATTCTAACAAGTTTGGAGAAAAGAGAAAAAATAGTACCTATAGGGCCCACCATCCCAAGAGGATATAGGGAAAGATGTGAATTCAGCATTAGACAGCGGGACACAGACTTTGTCCTGCCACTTCCCAGCAGTGGGACCTTGAGAGGTGTTTTGTCCCTGCTGAGTCTCATTCCCTGCCAGTGCTTTGCAAGCAGAGTGCTTCACCACGGCCCCCAGCTACTCCTGGACAGTGTCTGAGAAAGTGGATGAACGGCAGGGGTTCTTTGGGGGCCACTGACCCCTTGGCCACTGACCCAGGAGAACTGAGCTCCTCCTTCCCCATCTCAGTTGTCCCCATCTCGACAAATGACAGCTCCATCCTTCTTGTGGCTGAGACCAAGAACCTTGGCGTCATCTCTAATTCTTCCTTCTCTCACACCTGCCATCTTAAGCCAATCTATAGTCTAGAATCAGACCATTGCCCACACCCCACACCTGCCACTCTGGGCCCAGCCTCCATCCACTCTCACTGGGTAATGACAACAGCCTCTTCCCTCTTCACTGGTTTGGCTGCTGCTACTTTATTAGGGTGATCAATTGTCCCAGCTTGCCTGGGACTGAGGGAGCACCCAGGACACTGGACTTTAAGTGTAAAAACTAGGACATTCTCAGGCAAACTGGGACAAGTTAGTCACCCTACCTTTACCCCACTATAGTCTTTTCTCAAGACAGCTGGCCAAGGAAGTCATTTGTTTTTAGAGTCAGGGTCTCACCACAAGCTGCAGTGCAGTGGACTCAAGAGATCCCACCCTTGGCCAGGTACAGTGGCTCATGCCTATAATCCCAGCACTTTTGGAGGCTAAGATGAGAGGACTGCTTGAGCCCATAGGTTCAAGCCCATAGGCAACTTGGTAAGACCTCATCTCTACAATAAATCAAGAAATTAGCAAGGCATGGTGGCATGTGTCTGTAGTTCCAGCTACTTGGAAGGCTGAGGCAGACAGATCATCTGAGATCAGCAGGTCGAGGCTGCAGTGGCCATGAGTGTGCCACTGCACTCCATCCCGGGAGCCTGGGCGACAGAGTGAGACTCCAATTCAAAAAAAAAAAAATCTTCCCATATCAACCTCCCTGAGTAGCTGGGGCTGCAGGTGTGTACCACTTCACCTGACTAATTTTTTTCTTTTATTTCTTTTGAGTTGGAGTCTCACTCTGTCACCCAGGCTGGAGTGCAGTGGCATGATCATGGCTCACTGCAGCCTCAACCTCCTGGGTTCAGGTGATCTTTCCACCTCAGCCTCCTGAGTAGCTGGGACCACAGAAGTGCACCACCACATCCAGCTAATTTTCTGATTTTTTTTTTTTTTTTTGTAGAGATGAGGTTTTACTATGTTGCCCAGGCTGGTCTCGAACTCAAGCATTTCTCCGGCCTAGGCCTTCTAAAATGTTGAGGGATTACAGGCGTGAGCCACCACGCCTGGCTTCAAAGATCTTTTTAAACATACGTAAATCAGATTACATTACTCTTGTGCCTAGAACCTCTAGTGGTGTCCTACTTCACTCTGAGTAAAATCCTGAGTCCTTAAAATAGTCTGCAAGGTTATCTGTGGGCTGGTACCTGCCCCACCCCACCATCTGCTGACCTCATCTCCATCCCCCACCCCTGCAGGTCCCCACTGTGCTCTAGACACCAGGCTTCCTTGCTGTTCCATGCACACATCTCCAGTGCATGCACCTCAGGGCTTCTTCTTCCTGTCCTCTCTCACTGGAATGTTCTCCTCCTGGACATCCACATGGCTCTCCCCCTCACTGCATCATGACTCTGTTCAAATGTCACTGGACTAGACAGCTCTTCTCTGGCCACCCAGTAAGTACCCCCTTCCCCATGCCCACCCCTCTCTATTCTTTATTATTCTCTGTAACACATATCACCTCCTGAATACTATGCCTTTTACTTGTATGTTTATCTGTCTCTCCTTAGGTGAAGGACAAAGACTTCGTTTTCCTCCCTGATGTATCCCTGGTTCCTAGAATAATGCTTGGGACAGAGAAGGCTCTCATTTGTTAAATGAGTTCACAGATCTTTCCTGCTACCTTCTACCTCTACTAACTGGCCGGCTCTTCTGTACCCAGACCTAGCAAAGTCAGTCTCCCTCCTCTGGCCAGCTGTTGCTCCCACTCAAAGAACAACCCCACCCCATGCCCGATTCCCAACCGTCCTGAGGCCCACTAACTCCCTCCACCCAGCCTCCCTGCCGAGCTATTTTCAACAGATCTCCAGCTTTCTGTGAGCAGCTTCCTGTAGCCCCAATCCCAAATTCATAGTGCAAAACAAGGGCATCGCAGGCATTCTCGGAGCTGTACCTGGTTCTGCCCCGGAGACTCCCCAGTGGGCCAGGAAAATCAGCCAGGAGAGCAGCCTCATCCTCAGGCTCACCGCACTGGAGCCGCGGGATTCTCAGGGATTGTTGTTCACACTGCAGGCTGCCCAAGTAGTTGTTCTGGCCACGTGCCTGAGCGGAACTACTAATGTTCCCAGTCATCCAAGGCGTCTGGCTCCCCCTGGCTTTTCCTTCTTCGCCTGGCAGAGTGTGAGCTGGGTTGGGCTGAGGCTGAAGGCAGGCCTCTGGACTCAAGCAGAAACCACGCCCAAGCCTCAAGCAGAAGCCACTCCCGTCTTGCCATTGCAGCCCCGTCCCTCAAGGGGAGGTGTTGGGGTTATTTTATCTGCAAAAGGTTTTCAGAGAGGCCAAGCAAGGAGGCTGAGGCAGAGAGGTTGTCTTAGTCCATTTTGTGTTACTATAATAGAATACCTGTGACTGGGTATTTCATAAAGAACAGAAATGTAGGCCTCAGGAGGCCAAGGTGAGAGGATTATTTGAGCCCAGGAGTTCAAGACCAGCCTAAGCAACATAGCAAGACCTTATCTCTACAAAAATAAAAATAAAAAAAATTAGCCAGGCATGGTGACATGCACCTGTAGTCCCAGCTACTCAGGAAGGTAAGGCAGAAGGATCACCTGAGCCCAGGAGGTTGAGCCTGCAGTGAGCCATGATCATGTCACTGCATTCTGGCCTGGGTGACAGAGTAAGACCAAAAAAAAAAAAAAAAAAAGAGGAACAAATGTATTTGTCTTATGGTTCTGGAGGCTGGTAAGTTTCAAGTTGTCAGCAAGGTGTCTTGGAGGCCATTCTCTTCTTTCAAGATGGCATCTCATCCCTTGGAGAGGAGAAAGGCTGGATCCTCACATGATAAAAAGGTCAAGACAAAAGGAGGACAAATCTAAGATGAAGGATAAGGTTAAAAAAAGGGGGGGGGAGGCTGGTGACAAATGGGACCTTTTTGAACGGTGTTAATCCCATGCATGAGAGCAGAGCCCTGATGACCCAATCACCTCCCAAAGAGCCTACCTTCCAACACTGCCACAATGGCAACCAAATTTTAAAATGAGTTTTGACAGGGACCAGCGTTCAAACCATAGCAAAAGTCCTGGTGAAAAGTGGTGAGGGTCTGTGCCAGGCAACTAGTAACTAGTAGTAGGGAGGAATTGAATAGCCTGTGACTGGGTTATCAGTTAGGTAGTTTTGGTTCTCATCACATTTGTTTTTTAAACCCTGTTCTAAATAAGTAGCAAAGATTCCTTCCCTTGGTGAAGGACATGGCAGAGTGGAAGCCACAGCTTCTTGGAGACAGCCACCTCCAGGCTTTTGTCCTCTGACCTCCAGAGAGGGTAGTGAAAGAGAGGGGAGACTGGTCCAGCCAGGGAAGTAGCAAAGGTTGCTGGGTTCCAAGAGTTCAGGCTGGCTCTAGAAGGTAGCAGCAGGTCCTCACGCAGGAAGTCCTTGGACATTTACTTGGGTTCAATAAATGTTTGATGTCTACTAGGTTCTAGGCCCTAGGGAGACAGTGGTGAACAATGCAAACCCTCTGCCTTCACAGGACTTACATTTGGCAGAAGACATGGGCATTATACAGACTTATCAACAAGGCTCCTGGCCTGGCAATGCCCCTCGGGTCAGGTGCAACAGAATCTCGGGTCCCCAGAACTGGACAGGCTTAGGCACGAATATATCAGCGGAGCCCACAGACAACTAAAGACTAAGGTCCTATCCCTGTTCAAGGCCCTAGGTCACCCCAAGGAGGAGGGGGACATCAAAATAACCAAGACTGAATTTCCTGCCAGTCCAGAAGGAAGAAGGCTCTGAGAGACCCACTGCTATGGGTTTAACAAAAATAAAGTAGTGTGATTTGCTTGCCCCTGAACCTATGGCGTGCCTCAAAACTGCTGGAAGCTATTTAGGGCAGATGGAGGAGGTGTTCTTGGAAAACAACCCATGGGATTATTGGGGAAAGAGGGCAGGTCAGAACTCTAGGGCAGCCAGCGCCCCCAGGGCTGCCCAGGGAGATGGCAACAGAAGCCTTGAAATTGGAACAAGGGAGAGCATTCTTGTGGGGCATAAGGATTCCTCATAAACCCATCAGAGGGGGTGCTAGAGGCCCACTCAGCTTTTGTCTGGATGCAGGGGCTTTTTTTTTTAATTCCTCAGCTTTTTGTTTAGTGTCCCCTGAAGGCCTCATCACCATCACCACCACCACCCCATAAGACATTTTTGAGCAAGTAGGAAAAGGCACTCCTCTAGGTCTCTGTGTGAATTAGAAAAAGATGCCCTCACCCCCAAAAAGCATAGCCGGGGCTCAGAGTGGAGCCAGGGACTTACAGCCCCCACTCAGCCCTCTGCCTGTTACTCAGTGGTAGTGGCTTCTCTGTGGCCCTGGCCTGACCAGCTAGTTGTGCCTGTGCTTGGTTTGCTGGAATTGGTAAGTGGACAGAGAAATCGAGTGGTCTGGACTTTGCCTTCTTAAGTACAAAACAGCCCCTCTTCTTCAAATTGCCCAAGGTATTTATTTAACTCTTAGCAGCTGCAATTTCAGGAAAATTGCCATCCCTTTTTTTTTTTTTTTTTTTTGAGTCAGAGTCTCATTCTGATGCCTAGACTGGAGTGTAGTGGCTCACTCACTGCCACTGCAGCCTCAACCTGCTGGGCTCAGATGATCCTTCTGCCTCAGGCTTCCAAGTAGCTGGAATTACAGGCAAGTGCCACCATGCCCAGATAATTTTTTGATTGATTGTAGAGACGAGGTCTTGCCAAATTGCCCAGGCTGGTCTCGAACCCCTGGGCTCAGGTAATCCTCTCACCTCTGCCTCTCAGAGTGCTGGAATTACAGGTGTGAGCCACCATACCCAGCAATTCCCATCTTTTTTTTTTTTGGAGTTGGAGTCTCACTTTGTCGCCCAGGCTGGAGTGCAGTGACTCATTCATGACCACCCCAGCGTCAACCTGCTGGGCTCTGGCGATCCTTCCGCTTCAGCCTTCCAATTTTTATTGTACAGACAAGGTCTCACCAAGTTGCCTGCGCTGGTCTTGAACTTGCGGGCTCAGGCAATCCACTTGCCTTGGCCTCCCAAAGTATTAGGATTATAGGCTAAACCACCAAGCCTGGCCTCCCATCACTCTTAAGAGAAAATCATGTTGTAAAAAACTGGTAAGAGGCAAGCATTCTTTACATTACTTTACTTTTGTAACCCTTTCTGTCCTATAATCTCAGTAGTTTTTGTTTTTTATTTTGAGTCTAGTCACCCAGGCTAGAGTGCAGTGGTGCAATCATGGCTCACCACAGCCTCAGCCTCCTGCGCTCAAGTGATCCTTCCACCTCAGCCTCCTGAGTAGCTGGAAGTGCAGGCACAGGACTACAGGTGCACGCCACCATGCCCTACTAATTTTTTGTAGAGATGAGGCCTCACTATGTTGCCTAGGCTGATGTCGAACTTCTGGACTCAAACAATCCTCCCACCTCAGCCTCCAAGTGCTGGGATTACAGGTGTCAGCCACTATATCTAGCCAGTAGTGCATGTTAATGGAAAAACCAAACTCTGTAAAAAGTATTTTAAAGTGGGTTATTCTCAGCCAATATGAATGACTGTGGCCCAGGGAAAGCACAAACCCAAGAAACCTTGAGTAAATGGCTTCCAATTACAGTTTGCTTTTATATATTTTAGGGAAGCAGGAGCCACAGGCAAAGACATGAACCAATACACTGAAGCTATACATTGGTTTGGTCCAAAAAGGTGGGGTATCTTGAAGCAGAAGCTTACAGGTGTTAGGTCAAAATCCCAGTAGGGCCTCCAAAATGGAAGTCAGACCACATGGGGTGGTCTGTGATCCGGTGCTAAGCATAAAATGCAAATAACTGCACAGAAGTTAGATTAGAAAATACAGTTTATTTAGAAAGTAAATTGGAGGGAGGGGTAGGAGAGATTCACCTCCCCAAGGTAGGGGAGGGAACTAAATCTATGAAAGCATCATAGCCCGGTCAGAGCTCAAAGAGCACTTGGCTAGATCAGAGGTTAGCAAAACAATGGACCCTGGCTGCTTAAGGTTGAATACTTTTAAAACTTGCCTTTTGACTGCACATGTGGCTCACACCTATAATCCCAGCACTTTGGGTGGCCAAGGTAAGAGGATTGCCTGAGCCCAGGGGTTTGAGACCAGCCTGGGCAACTTGGTAAGACCTTATCTCTACAATCAATCAAAAATTAGCTGTAATTTTTTATTTACACGTGCCTGTAGTTTCAGCTACTTGGAAGGCTGAGGCGGAAGGATCACCTGAGCCTATCAGGTAGAGGCTGCGGTGACCATGAGCGTGCCACCGCACTCCAGTCTGGGCGAGAGAGTGAGACTCCAACTCAAAAATAAAATAAAATAAAAAATAACACCTCCCTTTTGATGGGGGGACAGGTCGTTAAGGTGACTGGGTGGTAGTCTTGTCCACATCTTCATGAAGGAGACAGGTAAGCACAGGTACTGACGTCAGGTGATGGACTAGAGGTAGATGGGTGGGCTAGTCACATGACTGTTGCCATGTTGATGGAGTCTGTTCATGAAAGTCACGAAGGGCTGATCAGGTTGACTTGTTTGCAAAATAAGCTGGGGAGGGAGTTGTAAAGCAATTAATTATCAATAGCTATCTCTGAGAAACCGTTTCTCAGATGAGAGGGTAAATTAAAGTGAACTGCTAGAAAAACATGACAAAACTAGGCAGTGTTAAAATGGCTCCTCACTGGGTATATCAGCTCCATCTCATGTCTTTTTAACAGGCTATAGGTGAATTCAGAGATCCTTTCTCCCCCTCCCCCCGCTGCCCCCTTATTTTTATAGATAGTGTCTTGCTGTGTTGCCGAGGCTGGAAAGCAGTGGGACAACTGCAGCTCATGCAGCCTGGAAGTCCTGGGCTCAAGTGATCCTCTCGCCTCAGTCTCCTGAGTTAGCTGGGACTACAGGCATGTGCCACCGTGCCCACTCATGTTTTTATTTTTTATTTTTTTGTAGAGGCAAGGTCTCTCTATGCTGCCTTGGGTGGTCTCAAACTCCTGGCCTCAAGTGATCCTCTCCTCTTGGCCTCCCAAAGTGCTGTGATTCATTAATTTGCAATCGGTTAAAGAAGTAAAGCTTTGTCTAAAAATTTGGAGTCAGCAGGAAGGAATGTTAAATATAAGGAAAA